TTTTTTTATTCAGAGAAGAGATTTCTTCATTTTTCTTATTTATTTCATCAAAATGTAAATCTTTCCAGTAATTTACTTCTTCTGTTTTTTTCTTTAAGTTTTTTTTGAGTTCCGACTTTTCTCTTTTATTTTGGTTTTTAGAAGAGACTATTGGCTTTCTTCTTTTTTTTCCATTTTCACCATTTTTTACAAATATTATTATTAAGAAGAAAGCCAATAAATAAAGAAATAAAAAGAATATAAATATATCTATCTTTTTTTCACTACTTATGTCAGCAAATTTAAAAACCAAGAAACTAAAAGCCAAAAAAGATAAAAGCAATCAAAAGAAATAAGAACTTCTTTTCCCGGCATTAACATTTAAATTTTTGATTCCAATCACATTATTACGAAATTTTTTTATATTTTGCGCTACTACTATGCAAGAGAAAATTTTGAGAATTAATTATTAAACCATAACGTTATCACGCAAACTACTAATTTCCCTTCCTTTTCTTTAACCAACTTCTTCCACTTCGACAAAAAGGGTTAAACTACCATCATTTTCCTCACGAGAATAATAACGAGTAGCATATCATTTTCCTTCGCCTAGTCGGGCATTGGCTTGATTGTTTAACTGATCAATCATTACCCACTGTGACACCCCCTTCCTTGCTACTTTATCAAAATTGATGCTAAATTTCTTTTCTTTATTTTTAACTTCTGACATATTTATTATATAATTTATTTTATCACTTCTCTCCTCAAAACACACCAATGCGAAACTCCACTATCTAACCAAACATCCATAATGTCTTGTCCTAAAATGGTTTCTTCATTTATCAAATTTGGAAATTTTTCTCGCAAAAGCAGTAAAATGCTGCCATCAAATCAGCAATCAGAACCACGACTAGCAACTATTTCAGCAACATAATCAATAATTTCTGGATTAAGTATCGGTTCGTTATTTTTATATAAAACTGGAATAGGAACTCCTCATTTTCTTTGTCTAGAAATACACCAATCCTCCCGAGCCGTTATTATTTGCCGCATTTTTTCTTCGGTCCAATTAGGATATCATTTTACTTCTTGGATATTTTTCAACAACTCCTTTTTTATTGCTTCTACTTTAATAAATCATTGTTTAGTTAAGCGATAAATTAAGGGACTTTTATCACGTCAATCATGGGGATAACTATGAGTAATTATTTCTTTTTTTATTATTAGATTTCTTTTTTCTAAACCATTAATGATGTAAATATTAACTTCTGAATAATGTTTATTAATTATCTCTGGAATTCCAATTTTTTCATTAAAATAGCCATTAGGTTCTAGGGGACATTCAATTATTAATTTCTCCTTTTTTGCGGTTGAAAAATCTTCCATTCCAAAAGCAGGTGCTAAATGAACGATACCTGTTCCTTCTTTCTCCTCAATAAAATCACTACCATCAACAATATATCCTTTTTTATCTTTACAATAGGGGTGAAAATAATTTAATCCTAATAATTTTTCTCCTAAAAATGTTTTTTCTAATTTTATTTTTCCTTCTTGTCATTTTTCTAAAAGAGGGATTTTGCTTTCCAAAATTATTGAATGCTCGCCATTACAACTAACTAAGGCATAAGAAGCCGTTTTTTTAATTGCCGCTAATTGATTGGCTGGTATAGTTCAAGGCTGGGTGGTTCAGATAAGTAGACTAACATTTTCTTTACCAAAAAAGTTATCCACTAACTTAATTTTAAAATAAAGCGAAGTATCTTTTTTTTCGTAATATTCAATTTCGGCTTCTGCCAGAGCCGTTTCGTGTCCGCAGGACCAATGAATAGGACGATAACCCTGATAAATTAAATTTTTCTTTACCATTTCCCCAAAAATTCTTAATTGTTCGGCCTCATAATTTTTATTCAAAGTTATATAATACTTTTCATAATCAGTAAATAATCCTAATTCTTTTAATTGTTCTTTTTGTATTTGGGCTTGTTCGAGAGCAAATTGGTGGCAAACTGGTCGCAAATCTACTTTTTTGTCTTGGTAAACTTGGAGCATTTTATGTTCGGTCGGTAAACCATGAGCGTCCCAGCCAAGCAAGAGAGGAGTATAATTACCTTGTGAAGCCTGAAATCGGACAATAATGTCCTTGATGAGGAAATTTAAAAAGTGTCCAATATGGAGTTTACCATTAGCATAGGGTGGACCTGAATGAAGAATAAAAGGAGAATTATTTTTATTTTTTTCTAAAATTTTTTGATAAATTTTTCTTTCTTCTCATAATTCTCTAATTTTTTTTTCATTTTCTAAATGATTAGTTTTTAGAGGAAAATTAATTTTAGGGAGCAAAAGAGTATCCTTAATTTTTTTTGTTTCCATTTATTAAAATGATTTATAATTTTAGATATTATTGGCGCACCCGGGAGGACTTGAACCCCCGACCTTTTGATCCGAAGTCAAACATTCTATCCACTGAACTACGGGTGCACTCGAAATTTAATGCTTGCTTTTTAATTTATTTTTGGTAAAAGTTAGTTTCGACTTGTTGAAATTGTTGTTGCTCCTGTTCTGAACTGTTTGCCTCTAAATTACTTTCTTGGTATCAAATTTCCCTCTGAGCGGCTTTTTCTTTTCCTTTTTCGGAGTTTGTTGTATAATCGGAAGTATTATAAATTTGCTCTCTCCCCGATAAAACTGACAGTCTAGCATTTTTTTCGTTTTTTCACCCGTTAAAATCATAAGTTCCATGAAAAACATTAATAAGAAAATGCTATCCGCCCTTCAAAATGCGTTTTGCGGATTTTCATCTCAAAAACTAAATTTTCATCGGCTTCCTTTTGTTATTACAAGACCGCGAAGAGCAGGATTTCCTAGTTTTATATTAACTGACTGTTCTAAACCACCCGCCGATTTAATTGTAAAATTGTGTCAACCACTGCTCAATGAACCTATAAAGTCATTGTATTCTAATTCCCAAGTAACTTTACTTTTCGGTTGAGGGTGAGGCGACTGCAGAGGAGTTTGCGGACCAGGGCCTTGTGGTTGCGGATTAGTTGGTCCTTGATTCGGACCATTTGCATTATCCTCTTCCTGATAGTTAGGGTCATCGGGCCAATTTCCCAAAGGCGTTAAAGTAAAATTAGTATTGTTTTCATCGAAAGTTCATTCACTATCGCTTATTTTTTGGGAGACATTTTTTTCGTCGAAAGTGATTTTAAAGTTGGGGAAGTCAGGAAGGGTATGTTTATGGGCGAACTTCTTTCCTTTTACTTTCGGGTTTTTTTTGGAAATAAGAATTCTGGTGCGGATTTTTGAGTCAGAATTTACCAGTAATCAATAATTTTTCCTTCCCGAACCACCTCCTCATTTAACTTCAATGTCTATTTGATTAGGATTATTATTAGGAGTTTTATTTACCGGAGTTAAGGTAAATTTATCATTGTCCGCCTCAAAAACTCAATTATTATTTTTACTTTCATTGGCATCCTCTTCATAAAAAGAGATATTGTATTGACTATTTTTGTCAGTTAAATTATTAACCGAAGAGAAGATTTTGTTGTTTTTATCAATTAAAACTCTAAATTTATAGTTATTGTTATCAACATATTCATGCTTATCAGAAACTTGGCTAAGGTATCGAGCAGTAATTTGGTGGTGAGTTTTATTGTTATTGGGATTAGTGGGCGGATTGTTCGAAGGAGGATTGTTTGAATTGTTGTTCTTTAAATTAGTTAATTCTTGGTTTAACTGGTCTATTTCTTCTTGTATTTTTTGCTTCTCATCCTGATTAGCTTTGTTGGATAATTCCCTTTATTTTTGTTCTAATTTAGATTCAATTTCCTTAATTTTTGCCTCATTTTGCTCCTTAGTTTCGGAATTATCAGTATTTTTAGCAAGTTTTCACCCTAAAAAACAACCCACAGCCACCAAAGCGACAGCAATTACTCCCAATAAAAGCAATTTTTTTCGTTTGTTTGAATATTTTTGCTTAACTTCCATGATACATTTATAATTTTAATGATATTTAATTCTGCCATTTTGTTATTATTTTTTGGTAATATGTAGCAAAGAAGAGAAAAAAAGTAGTAAAATTAAATTATTATGAAAGTCCGTAGTTCCATTAAAATAATGTGCCGCACCTGCCAAGTCATTAAACGAAAGGGTTATCGCTATATTTATTGCCGAGTAAATCCTAAACATAAGCAAAGACAAGGTTAATCAAAATTAGTTTACATAAAAGAAGTAAAAATTATTGAATAAATAAATATATGACAAGAAAATGTGGTTTTATAGACTGTAAAAATCCAGCAGAGAAAAAAAGAAATTATTGCCAAAGTTGTAAGGAAAGAAAAGAACAAGAATTAGAAAATACAAAAAAATCAATTAAAGATAAAGAAAACGAGATAGAAAAATTACAAAAAGATAATAATTCTCTCAAGAAAAATCAACCTAATAAAAAAGACGATTCCAACCTTTCACTTAAAATTGGCCTTGGAATAGCCGGAGTAATCATTGTAATTCTTTTCGCTTGGCTGTTGATTAAAAAAAAAACATTAAAGTAATAACCGATTAAAAAATACTTAACACATAGAAAATGAATTGAAATTGTAATAATTGTGGTCGCGAAATTATTAGTGATAAAAAAGGGGATTTTTGTTTGGAGTGTTGGTGAAAACAGCAAGTAGAAAAAACGGAGATTACTCCTGAAACTATTCGGATTTTTATGGAAAAATATTGACTTGTTATTTTCAGTTTTAATAAAGACAGTTATTCTGACATTCTTTGCATTGGTTTTGAGGATATGAAAACTTTGTTCTCCCATAAACAAAAAGAAGGATTAGAAACTGTTTATTTTCCCAGAACTAAAAAAAACATGAATAGAATAGGATGACCCAGAGAAATTTTTTTTAATGAATATACTGCTTTCCTAGAAAAATTATTTCATTTCGCTCAAAACGAAAAAATTAAAAGAATAAGGAGTTATTGAAACATGAAAAAAAACTCTAATAATGAAGCATTATTTAAAGTTGATGACATAATTATTGAGAAAAAAACTGCTGAGGAAATAGAAAAAGAAGAATAAAAAAATTAATATATGCTTATCGTAAATAATTGGTGAGAAACCAAAAGACAAGAAATAAAAAAATTGGTGGGAGAAAAATTTAACCACACTTCGCCTATGCAAACGACTGACATTGAAAAAATAGTTCTCAATAGTGGGGTCAGTCAGGCGGTTAATGACAAAAAAATGCTAGAAAATACTGAAAAGGCTCTTATTCGGGTCGCTCATGGGCAAAAACCAATTATAACTCATGCTCGCAAATCTATTATTGGTTTTAAATTGCGGGAAGGAATGCCAATTGGTTGTAAAGTAACATTAAGGAAAAAAAGAGCGTGGAATTTTCTTTTCGAGTTAATCAATATAAACCTACCGCTAATTACTAACTTTCAAGGCTTTTCGGTAAAGAAATTTGACCGAGCCGGAAATTATAACTTGGGAATAAATGATTTAAATATTTTTTCGACAGTTCCTTACGATTTAACTTTTAAAAATCAAGGAATTCAAATTACCATTGTTTTTAAATCTACTTCGACTGAGGAAAATAGTCATTTTTTGAGTTTGCTGGGATTTCCTTTTAAGGAAAAGAAATAGCAAAAAATAATCAAGGATAACCAATTGATGCCCAACTAGAATGTGTCCGAAGGAGGGAAATAATTACCTCTTTTCCCTTTTTTTACACATTTACGTTTGTGCTTAAATTTCAACTCTTTTCTCTATCGGCTGAATTTGCCGAACAATTTTTTTTAATTCTTGCTGTTCTTTCCAACATTCTAGTTCATAATGCTTTTGTAAGTCTAACCAATAATCCTCTCTTACTCCTCAATATAGACCTAGACGATAAGAGAGTTCAGGTGTAATATCCCGTTTTTCTTTTAATATTTCCTTGACAATATTCTCCTCAACTTTAATGCTTTGGGATAATTGTTGGGGAGTAAGTTTGTAAGTTTTTAATAATTCCTCCCTTAATATTTCCCCAGGGTGAATTGGATGTAAATCTTTATCTCTTACCATGACATATAAGTTATTTTACTTTGCCATACTTTTTATCATGGGGATTAATTATGATATCATAAGCCCGCTTTTGTTCTTTATCTCAACGAAATAATAATCGTCATTTAGAACTTAAACGGATAGTGTGCTGGTCTTTACCAATTTTCTCTAATCTACTGCCACTGGCTCCATAAGGAAAATACAGGGTGATTTCTTTTCAGTTTTTAGCCTGATAAATTAAAACTACTTTTCTATGTGCTTCTTGTTTATCACTACGACTGAGTTCTTGGAATTTGAGAACTCTTTCACCTAAATAAAAGTTTTCAGTGTCTTTATCCCTAAATCTGGGGTCTTTGGGTTTATTCATAAATTAGTTTTGGTTAAGATTTTTTATTTCTTTCTAATTTTATAAATTTAAACAAGAATACTAATAAAAATATTAATTTTAATTTATAATTTTCTGCTAAAATGTTTTTATTCCCGACCTCTTTTTAATAGGTGTTTTTTATATTTTTTGAAAAGAAGAGCCAAAAATCGTTAAAGATTAAAAGTTGTCGTCTATTAGTTAAAAATAATACATGGATAACCAGGAAATTAAACATCTACTAATCAGAAAAAAATATTGAGAGAAAAAACGCGACTTTTACCACAAATTATTCCATAAATATCAGCAAAGAACCAATGCTTGTTTTTTTATGCTTTATTCTTGCTTTTTAGTATCTTTTTTGGCAAAATTGGAAGTTGAAAAATGAGTAATTATTATTTTATTGGTTTTATTTTTAGGCAGTTTCGTTTTTTATATTTATTTTCTAAAATATTTTTGGCTTTATGAGCGAAAATTGGAAAATGCGGCAGCAAAAGTTAACCAAATTAACGAAAAACTAACAGAAATTATGGAACTCCAAATTATTAATCCGATTTCTTAATCAAATTAGGTGCTCCGGTCAGCGAACAAGTGCCGTCAATATTTTTGGGAAAGGCAATTAGTTCCTTTAAATTATTAGTATTTAACATTACAGACAATAAACGGTCAATGCCTAAGCCAACTCCTCCGTGGGGTGGTGCCGCAAATCCTAATGCTTGTAAAAAATAGCCGAAATGCTCTTCTCTCTCCTCCTGGCTATAACCCAAAACTTCTAAAACTTTTTCTTGTAATTCGCGAGTATAAATCCGCAGACTTCCACTTAATATTTCCTCCCCATTACAAATCAAATCAAAAGCATCACAAATTATTTCCTCTGGCTTAATTTCATTATTTAAAAATGGTTTAATATATTTTTCCTGAGGAATAGTAAAAGGATGGCGTATACTTTCATATTTTTTTGTCTCTTTATTATATTCAAAAAGCGGTCAATCAATTATTCAGCAAAATTTTAATTCTTTTTCGTCTTTTGGATTTTGGCGTAAATCGGGTTTATCTGATCCATATTTTGTTGCTTCTTGATAGGTTAAAACAGAAAAAGGAGTTTTTATCTGATAACCAAAAACATTTTTTAAAATAGTTTCTAGCATTTTTTCTATTAGTTGTCTAATTTGCTGAGAAGTAATAAAACTCATCTCTAATTCTAATTGTGAAAATTCTATTTGGCGATTACTACGAGCATCCTCATTACGAAAACTTTTAGCAATTTGATAGTATTTATCAAAACCGCTCACCATTAATAACTGCTTAAATATTTGGGCGGATTGGGGCAAGGTATAATAACGATTTTTTAAATTAGCAGGAACCACAAAACATTTAGCACCTTCGGGAGAACTATTAGCCAAAATTGGAGTTTCAATATCCACAAATTCCCGGTCATGAAAAAACTTTCTTAATTCGTAGCAAAATTGATTTTTAATAAGCAGCAGTTTTTTACTACTAGGGTTGCGTAAATCTAAATAGCGGTAGCGGTATTTAGTATCCTCTTTAACATTATCATGAATGTCAAAGGGCAACTCTTTGCTAGTATTAATTAATTGATACTCAGTCAATTCAATTTCCAATACTTTTTCTGAACCTTCCTTTTTTTTGACAATTCCGCATATTTCTAATAAATCCCCTTTTTTTATTTTTTTTAGTCGTGAAATTAATTCCTTATTTTTAACTACAACTTGAATATAACCGCCACTATCTTGACCAGTAATGAACCACAATGAATTACCTTTTTCATTAATATTAATAATTCAAATATAAAGAGTAGTCTTTTCGTTTAATTGTTCGGAAGTTAATTTAGCGATTTGGGAGAAAGAGTTCATATCCTGTCTAATAAAATAATTTTAGAAAACTTTTGTGCAGAGAGATAAATGGTTGATATTAATACATTTGATTTTGCCTTGCTCTAAAAAAGAAAAAAATTAATATAATCTCATATATGAATAAAGAAATTAAAGTTCGTCAACTTTTCCCCTTTTTTACCCAGCAAAAAAACCTAGTCTATTTAGATAGTGCGGCCACTAGTTTAAAGCCTATAAATGTTATTCAGGCAATTACTAATTATTATGAAAAATTCTCCATTAATAGTCATAGCGAAGGGAGTGGTCTTTTAGCCCAAACAGTCCGTCAGACTATTTCCCGAACCCGCCAATTAATCGCTGAAAAAATTGGTGCCGACGCTGAGGAAATTATTTTTTTGCCTTCCACCACTTATTCTTTAAACATTTTAGCCTTATCCTTGAAAGATTATTTATCAAAAGGCGATAAGATTTTTTTAACTCATTTAGAGCATAGTTCTAATTGCTACATATGGCAGGATATCGCCCAACAAAAACAAACCCAAGCAGATTTTTTGCCTTTAAATAAAGAGTTTATAGTTGATATTAATAAATTAGAAAACTATATCGACAAAAAGACTAAAATAACTAGTTTTACTCACATGAGCAATAGTTTAGGAGTTATTAATCCAGTAAAAGAAATTGCCAAAAAAATTAAAAAAATAAACCCTGATTGCTTAGTAGTAATTGATGCTTGCCAAAGTGTCGCTCATTTACCGATTAACATTAAAGAATTGGAAATTGATGCGTTAGTTTTTTCCGGACATAAAGTTTATGGGCCAACCGGAATTGGAGTGCTCTGACTTAAAAAAGAAGTGGCCGAAAAATTGCCTCATTTGCTATGAGGTGGTGGTAAAAAAATTGGTCCTAATAATTCTTTGGCAGAGAAAAATGAGTATTCTTCTTTATCGAGAAAATTCGAAGTTGGTACTTTGCCATTAGCCCAAATTTTTGGTTTAAAGGCTGCTTTTGAGTTTCTCAGTGACCTAGACATAAAAGAAATAAGTAATTATGAGAAGGAATTAAAAAATTATGCCTTGGATAAATTAAAAGAATTGGAGAAAGTAATTATTTATAATCAGGAACTAGAAACAGTGGATATTGTTCTTTTCAATTTAAAGGGTCATCACGCCCATGATGTGGCGGAATATTTATGAGAAAATAATATTTATGTCCGGGCTGGTAATTTTTGCTGTCCTTATCTGAAAGAATTAATTGGTAAAGAAGCAGCCATAAGAATTTCCTTTTTTATTTACAATACCAAAGAAGACATTGATAAATTAGTTTATTGCTTAAAAAAACTTGTTGAAAATCCTGACCTTATTTTAAATACTTTTGTTTCTCCTCAAAATGGTTAAATATAAAAATAGCATATAGTTTTACCTAAATAGTTTAAAGACGAATATTTCAAGATAAATCCTCAATTATTAAGGGGAGTATTAATTGCTCTCGTTTTTTAACTATCTTTTATTGCATTTCCTCTTTTTAGGGGGAGAAACACCAATCTCCACTAAATTATGTTATTTTTTTCCTTTTAACAATTCTTTTTCTTAGTATTACTGCTGACACTAATAATAACCAAATTATCAAAAAAAGAAAAATAATAACAATTTTTCAAGGAAAACTTTCGGGTTTAGAAGGGGAATTATTTTGGTCGGTATTTTTGATAGAATAACTTTCCAACTGAACTAATAAATTTTCGGCAACTTCTCATTGAGCGGAATAGTAAATATTACTACTGCTAATGAACTCTAATAACTCCTTTTTTAGTGCGGCTATTTGGTTTTTATCATTCAACTTCAAAACTTCATTGACCCGAGAAGTTAAATCAACTATTTTTTTCTCAGCCTCTTTTTGGTAAATATTTTGCTTAATTTTGGTTTCGGTGGCGACTAAACTGTCAGGATCTTTGATTTCACCATTTTTTAACTTTTGTCATTCTTGTCGGTTTTCCTGATTCAATTCGTTCTCTTCAATTTTGTTATCTTTTAGTTTTGCCTCGATTCTTTTTTTGGCTTCTTCGCTGTATTCCTGAGGATTTTCACTGGCCTTTTCTTTTTTAAGATTTTCCACCTCCTCCTTATTGCCCTGATAACCTTTTTCAGCTTCCTGGTTTTCTAAGTCCTTTCAAGCCTGTTCTTTTTCCCCTTTGGTTCCGGTTTTGACTTTATTCAAATTTTCTTTTACTTCCTGAGCGGTTTTTTTATCTTTTTGACGAGCCTGGATATCGGCTAATAGTCGGTCTTGAAGATTGGCAATTTTCTGAATATCAGTTAGTTGGTTTATTTGTTCTTCTCAATTTTGGTATTGGGGACTTAAATCGCTATTAATTAATTGAGGTTCTTGGTTTAGAGCAGTAGTTATTTCAATAATAAAATTATCTCTTTTCTGGTTTAGTTCTTGTTGTCTGGCTTGCTCTTCGGCTTGCTTTTTAGTTTCTTGCTCCTGCTTCTCCTTTTCTTCGGATTCTTTTTTTTCTTTTTCCTCCTGTTCTTTTTTTAGTCTTTCTTCTTCTTTTTGGGCGTTTTCTTTTGCTTCCGCTTCGGTTTGTTGGCGTTCTTGGTCTGATTTATTTTTGGCTGCTACTAGTTTTTTAATATCCTCCTCTAATTGGTTAGTTTGATAGTCGGTAATGGCATCTCGGTTTTTTAGAGAGCGTAAATGGTCTTGTCAGTTAGGGCGAATATTGTTTAATTCGGTTTCGGTAATGCCTTGGTTAGTGGCTGATTTGATGATTTGTTGGATAGTTGAGGTTTTGTGGTTGTTGAATTTTTCTTTTCCCTCCCTAATGGCAGTTAACATTTTATCCTTAAAAGTTTCGATTTCGCTTGCCTCTCTTCAAAGGCAATGATTTATGTGCTTTCTGCAAAGATTATTGTTTTCTTTAATATTAATCTCCACTTCACATTGACAATAAACAGGCAAAATACTAGGTCAAATAATTTCGGCTGTTTCTATGTCGATATTGGCTTCGGAAAGAGTTTGATTAATTTCTTTAAGAGTTTCCTCCCTAACTCGCGAAACCTCTCTACTTTTTTTATTTCCTTCTTCCCTTTCTAATCTTATTAATTCTAACTTTTTATCCATACCAAACCCTAGTTCTTTGCCTAATACAAAAAATAAATAGTTATTTGAGCAAATTTCAAAATTTTTGTCATTAGTATCCCGTCGCTGGGGAATGTCTATTATTTTGCTTGAATTAGTTTTGTTTAATTCAACTAAGTGTTTCTTATTAATTTTAATCCAACTCTCGAAATTTCTAGTTCCATTTGCTTCAAGTCAAAGTGCATTTCTGAAAAACTTAATTACCCTTGGGTTAGACCTGGTTCCGCCATTTTGAACAATTATATTCCCCAACTTTTGTCGCAGTTCAGCAGAAAGAATGTCAAATTTCCCTTCTTCTTCTTGCTCTTCCAAATCACTGATGCAAAATATGAAATTTTCTGAGTTTTGATTATATGATTCAAGTTTGTCTTTTAACTCTTTTGTAAAACCTTTGAACATAATGACGTTTTTTTATTAAGATTTCGTGCTGTATTATATTTTTTATATATAAATGTTATTTTTATTTCTTTGCGGAGAAATTTATCTATATAAATATGTTTTTTTTTGTTTTGCAAATTTTTCTCTTGGTCTACTCACAAAAATCATTAAAAATAACTTCTTTTCGTAATTTTCTTAGTAAATAACCTTGTTTATCAAAAAATACTCCCTCTTCGGATAATAATTTTCGTTTAGTAGCAATTTTTTCTCCTTCTCCTCATTCTCCATAATATCCCCCAATAAAAAAATTAGTAGCAATAACACGATGGCAGGGAACTTCGGATGGCGGAAAAGGATTAATTTTTAGAATTTGACCAACTTCCCGGGGTGAAATATCTAGAAATTCGGCAACATATTTATAAGTTGAAACTTTGCCTTTGGGTATTTGGGAACAACAATTATAAACTTTTGGTGAAAAATAGTTAATTTTAGACTTTGACATTATATTATTTTTAATAATGTTTTATCTCTTCTCTTACTGAAAAAGTTCCTTGATATAACTTTCCTTTCAGCATCAGGCAGTATTTATTCCCTCTAAAATCATAATTAACTTTAATAATTAAAAAATAATATTTATATTAAATGAATTATGTCAATCTTGCAAAAAAAAAAAAAAAAAAAAAACAGAGGAAGAGTCAAAAGTGGTCGAAATAGATAGTGTGGACATAAACAAGCAGCCAAAAGACGACGGCAAAAAGAAAGTAGATACTGGTCATAATAATTTACCCGAGGAAGAAGAAAGCCATTTTGAAAAATATCACTACTACTATCTCATTTTTGGTAGTTTTCTTTTCACTGTTTTGATTATTTTAGTTAGTAATTGGAATACCAATAATGAAATCCAAAGGATTGATAGACAGTTAAGCAGTTCCTATTCACCCTTAGAAAATTCAAACGAAAGCAATAGAAACACTGATGAAATCCTTAGTATCGTCAATCGGCAAGCGAAAAATGAACACGGACAGACTAGCACATTTCAAAAACCTAAACCTGACTTAAAAGATGAAAACTGAGTTGAGGAGGTAATTATTCAAAAAGATGTTAAAAAAGAAGTTAAAATGTGGCTTAATAGTTTTAAACTTCTGTCCCAATATCAAACTAAATTTAAATTAGAACTAGATAATCATGTTTTATTCTGTGGTCCTCCTGGTTCGGGAAAAAGTTTTATTATTGATAAATTTTGCGAAAATGAGGCTTCGTATTTTGTCAAAGCGAATTTTGAATCCCAAATTTACGTTGGTTCTAATATTGAAAAGCAGCAAAAAGTTTACCAAGGTGCCAAAAAATTAGCAACATTTAACGCCCAACGAGGAGAAACTAAACCGGTGGTTATTGTCATTGAAGAAATTGACGCAGTAGGAGTTAAAGTCCTTTCGGACCATGATACTTCCAGCAAAAGTGGAGTAGACGCTTTGTTAAAAATGTTTGATAATATACATGAAGAAAATTTAAACATTATCGTAGTGGCTACTACTAATAATCCGGAAGTGCTAAATGATGCCTTAGTTCGTCCGGGTCGGCTGGGTCGTCGTATTCAGGTTAATTATCCTACTGATGAAGAACTAAAAAAATTGGCCGATTATCTACAAAAAGTTATGGAAAAAGGTTGAAAAACTCATCTCAGAGAAGAGTTTTGAGAAGATAACGATGATAAAGATAAAGTAGTGGAATGACCGAACGATTACTGAGAAAATGTTTATCAGGCAATTCTAAAAATGACTAAAGATTTTAGAAAAAAAGAAATAGGATTTAATTTTCGAGATTTGCAGCAAGCAATTACTAAATCCTTAGAGGCAACAGTTGAGGAGAGCAATCCTAAAATTATCCCTAATGCTAAGGATTTTAGAAAGGAATTACGAAGTATTCTTAAAAATCGTGCTAATGACCGAGAAAATAATAGACGAAGACAATATTACTGACCGCCAAGATATCCTAAGGATGACGATAATGAAGAAGATGATGAGCCAAAGCCAGGTCCTAAGCAGTAATAAAAATTAGATAAATACGAGATTTTAACTTATTACTAATGGCATAAAAATAGAAGGATGAGGAAAGAAAAAGGCGACTTTGGAAAGTGATTATTTATATTGAATATGTTGCCTAAGTAAGTGTTCTCTCTAAAATAATATAATGAGAGGACATAATGTAAATATCTATTTTTCAGAGGAAACTTATAACAAAATTAAGCCTTTAATCGCTCAAAGAAAAGTCAGTGAATTTGTAAACCAAGCAGTAGAAAAGGAATTGCAAAAGCAACAAAAACGAGAAAAAGAACAATTAAGGGAAAAATTAATTATTGCTTATAAAAGGATGGATAAAAATAAAAATCTCCAAAAGGAATTAGCAACTTTAGAGGGGGAATCGGTGAAAGATATAGCAAAAAAGTTCACCAAGAATGAGTAAAAAATTAGTAATTCCCCACCGAGGGGAAATCTGATTGGTGGAGTTCCCACCTGCCAAGGAAAGCCGCAAACCTGTCCGACCAGTCTTGATAATCAGTGATAATATTCAAAATGAATATGATAAATGGATGGTAGTAGTTCCAATTACCACGGAAGATATTAAAATTATTGAACCCTTTGAAGTTTTTATTGATAACACTTCTGAAACTGGTTTAGACTATCCTAGCAAAATTCAGTTTAATTATCCTTTTACTGTTGAGCGTTTAAGAGAACATTTAGGAGTAACCAGTAAAGAAATAATGGAACAGTCCAAAAAGGCTTGGCAAATTGCTTTTGACGCGGAGGAATGATAATAAAAAGACAAAAGATCCGAAACTATTTTTTATCATTATAAATTATAAAAACATTATAAAAGTTAATAAAGATTAAACAATAAAATAATAATATAAATAAATATAAGTTAAAAATCATGGAATTTCAAAAATTAATAGAAATAATAAAGAAATATAAAGGTAATGGCATAGACTATGCTTATACTTCTCAAACAGGAGGCAGAAGTTCCCCAGACAACACTAGAAATCACTCTTATAGTAAGGAAGTTTATAACATTTATTCGCCAGAATTAAAAAAAGAAGCCAGAGAAATTGCTCTTTTTGGACACACCGAAGACGGAGGATTTTGCCGATTTAGCACAGAATTTAATGGGGAACAATACGAGTATGAAAAAGGGGACGGATCTAATCCTGATAAGTTAACAATAAAAGGTATTAGTCCCGAAGAGAAAAGAAAACAACAAGAACAAAGAGATAGAGAAAAAGCCCAGCAAAGAGAAAACAACCAAAATGACAATTCACCATGAGGAAAAAAATGTGCGGGCTGTGATAATAGATTAAACAGTAATCTCATTGAAGGCAACGCACAAGGAAGTTGATATTGTAGTCGTGAATGTGCGGATAAGTATAATAAAGCCTATAATAATAATTCCAATGACGATTTAAAATGTTCGGAGTGTGGCGATACACCCGAAGGAAAAGAATGTTGAGAATGAGTTGGAAGTGGTGATAAAATTTATTGTCTCAGTTGTTCTGACAAAAGACCTAAAAAATCAGAAGTCGAGATAGAAAAAGACAAATTAAATACCTTAAAACCTAAACTGGAAAAATCCTCTGACTCTCACGAAAAAGAAAACTTACAGAGTAAAATTAGAGAAACAGAAAATCATATTAGAGAATTAGAAAACAAAGATAAACCTAACAATTCTAATAAATCAGAACAACCTAAAACAGAATACGGAAAATTATTTCTAGTCGGAGCAGTTATTCTTTCAGCAACAATTTTAATTTCAGTTTGGATAATTAGAAAAAGGAGAAAAAACCCACGGACTTCCCGAAAAATTAAGGATTAATAAATGTTAAAAGAGAAAAAAAAACCATCAGGAAAGTATTATGTCAGCATTATTCCTGACAAAAGCACTGAAAAAAAAGGGCTAAAATACTTTGCCAAAGATAATTTTTGAACCAAGGAATTCGCTACTACTGCTTCCTCAAAATTTTTAAACTATTTTCAGCCTAGTCAAGATGCCTTTGTTATTGAGTTATTGGAAAAAAAGCAAAGAATATTATCGGGGAAAACCATTTTAGACGAGTTTGCTTGCGGTGGCACTGGACTTCACGCCTCCACTGGACCAATTTTTAATCCTCATAATTCTGCTTGTATAGTAGGCGGCTCTTCCTCTGGTTCAGCCTGGGTAGTAACTGAAAATTTGGTGCCTTGGGCCCTGGGACATGATACCGGAGATTCTATTCGCCGTCCGGCCTCCTATTGTGGAATAGTTGGCTTTAAGCCTTCTTATGGTTTGATTTCTCGCAGTGGTGTTATTCCTATGGCTTCTTCTTTGGATACAGTTGGTATTCTGGCTCAAAAAACCCAAGATATTAAATCAGTATTTGCTATTATTTCCCAAAAAGACCCTCATGACCTTTTAACTACCGCAACTAAAAATAAAATATTATCCCACCAAAAAAATAAAGTCGCAGTTGTGGCTGGAATAGAAAAGTATTTACCAAGTGAATTAAGTGATTTATATCATGTCTCTATTAAAAAACTAGAAAAGTTGGGATATACCATTGAAAAAATAACTATACCCAAAAAAATACGGGAACATCTCCAAATTACTTATCTTATCCTTTGTTCTAGTGAATTAGTTAGTCATCTCAATTCTCTCCAAGGAATAACTTATGGAATTAAGGAAAATATTAATGTTAACCACAAACGGAGCAAACATTTAGGGGAAATAGTAAAACAACGGCTCTTAATTGGTGCTTATTTTTTAGAAAATCAAGAGTTATTTATCAAAGCCCAAAAAATGCGTTATTTGATAGATAAATGAGTAAAAAAAGTTTTGCAAAATTATGATTTTCTAATTTTCCCTAGCACTAATAATACTGCTCCGCCAGCCGCTAATTTTAACCACTCATTTTCAGGGTTAATATCTTCTCATTGAAGCGATAACTTATTGCTCTTGGCTAATTTCTCTGGTTTGCCTTCTCTAAGTTTGCCAATTGGATTTATAAATGATTTGCCAGTAAGTATTAATATAAATAGTAATTATGGAAAAGACAAAAGAGTTTTAAAAATAGCCGAGGAGTTAGAAAAAGAAATTAACTTTTCAGTATAAAATATTTTATATGTCTGGAACTTTATTTTTTATTATTTTAATTATAGCCATAGTTTGTGTAGTTATTGTTTCTCTTATCTCTTATTATTCTTCGAAATGATTAGCCAAATGAGTGAAAAATGTCAAAAGAATTGATGACCGAAGAGACCTAAGTCCTAAATTAAAAGAGATAGTAAGAATTGTGCGAGAAGTTTCCCACATTTATAAAATGAAAATGCCAGAAGTGGGGGTTTATCCTTCCCAAGAAATTAATGCTTTTGCCACCGGTCCAGCCGGTAATACTTTAATTGCTTTTTCCAGTAATTTAGTTAATGCTATGAGCCTCCAAGAAATTAGAGGGGTGGTCGGCCACGAATTATCCCACCTTATCCATTATGATATCGCCCGGATTTTGTTAGTGCAGGCAATATTTGACGTTATTCATTTAATACTTAGTGTTTTAATTGCTTCGTGGTTATTTCGGCCCAGTGAAGAGGAGAGAAGAACAGGAGAATCTAATTTCATTAAGTTCATTTTTAAAGTTATACTTTTTCGGATAATCACGGCCATTTTACGTTTAATTGGTATTTTATTTATTTTTTGATATACCCGTAAGCGGGAATTAGCCGCCGACAAAAGAGGAGCGGAAATAGTAGGAATTGACGATATGCTAGCGGCTTTGCAGAAACTTTTGGAACTAGAAAATAAGGCCTGAATAGTAGACGGAGTAGACTTAACTGAAGACGAAAATGTTCAACAAGGCGAACCTAACTCAATTTCTTTATTAAAATTCAATCCTGAAAAGAAAAAAAGGGGATTACTTGATTTATTTCGCACTCATCCTACTTTGGAAGAGAGAATTGAGCGACTAGAAAAGTTGAAAAAGCAGCGAAAATTACCTGGTATTATTTAAGTAAACAAAAAAGGAAGTATAGTTAAATTATTAAACTTTATTATATTATGACGAAAAAAAAGAATGAATTATCACATTATCCAAGTTTTTTCTTCTCAAAATTGGTATTTAGAACTATTTCTTGAATAGTTTTTGCCGTTTTGTTTGTTAGTTTAGGAAAAAAATGATTAGAAATAGATATTTTAGGAAAAATTCATAACTCCATCTTTGGCGGGGAAAGAAATTTTAACCAGTATTTTTTAGGTGCCAATAAGGAGGATAAAAATACACTTTTGAACTACGCCATTTATTTTCTGGCAGCGATAATTGTTGCGAATCTTGTTTCTTTACTACTTAATAATTACCTATGAAAAAAGGATAAGTATATAAAAAACAATAATTATTACCTTCATAATAAGTGGATATTTATCCTTAACACTCTTAGCCATGTTGCCGGTGCTTTCTTGTTAACTTTCTCTTTTGTCAGTCCTTTTACAGCAATTCTAACTTTATTATTCATCACTTTTAATATTGGAAATTTTTGGCCTCGCAAGAAATTGAAAAATCCCCAAACTGAATCAGTTTTCTCATGAAAAAATGAGTATGTTCGCAAAATAATTATTTATTCAACTATCATTGTTTTGGTGGTTCCTTTCTTTCTGGGTCGTCTGGAAGTTTTTATTAATAATGCTACTTCCGATTCTCCTAGTGGTCTGGGCAAGGCTTTTAGTAATGTGCTCGGTGCTTCACCGGCTCTGAAAACGATAATAAATGAGTTGATTGGACCCAATTTCAGTTTGGATTTTCTTTTCTGGTTTATTCTAGTCTGATTTGCCCGGGGAGTAATTATTGAGCGAATTAAGGAATTTGGTGATTTTTGAACCAAAGTAAATGGTATTAAAAAGAGAACATCAAACTTCAAACATTACTATTACTACCAAGAAAGTTGAGCCCTGGCTAATAATACCCCGATTAATTTGGGAGATTATAGTTACTTAGAAAATAGTCCCAATTTTCTCAGCAAAGATTACTTAGAAAGTGATTTGGATATCAGTGATTTCGCCCAAAAAAACCAAAAAACGGTTAAATATATTGAATTTTGTGAGGACAAAATAAAGGAACCTCCCAAAAGAAATTTTCTCAATTATTGCTTATTTAATGAATTTGGCTCCTGAGAAGATTGCCTAAGGACTAAGAAATTAATTGAAACGACTCGGAAGAAGTAATATTTCCTTTTCATCTTTTATTTTCCCCACCAAAGCACTTAAAACATCTTGAAGGGTGATAATGCCTAACAGTTTTTTTTTTTCTTTAATGATTGCCAGACGAGAATTAATAATTTGTAATTTACTTAAAACTTTATCTAATGTATCATGAGGAGAGCAGTAAACAATTTTTTTGTCAATATAATCTTGTCAACGAATTCCTTTGTTTTTTATTAGTCGTCAGTAAAATAAGTCCATGTTAAATATTCCAATCACTTCTTTTTTTTGGTTAAGAACCGGATAACGGGTGAAAAAATTTTCAGAGTAAATGGCTTGCACTTCCGAGTAAGTCATGTCGTGTTTGAGGGCAATGACTTTTTTTCAGGGAGTAGTCATAGAAATTACTTTTAAATCATCAAATTTGAAAGCTGATTGAACTAGTTTGGCTTCGCCTTTTTCTAAAATTTTATCAGTAGTTAAGTTGTTAATAAAACGAATAACATCTTGTTCCGAGTTAACAAATATTTTTTTTTTTGGCTTGACTATTGACCGCAGAAAATAATAAGGAATTCTAATTAGCATGTAAGTAGTGTCTATAAAAAAGTTGTTAAAAACCATTTTGCGACTACCGGGTCGATTGACTAAATAACGGACAAATATTTCAGTAGCCAGAGCAATTAAAATACTTAACGCAATCAGCACTCCTCACTTATAATTATTCAAGTCTGCTTTTTCCAGGATTGGTTGACCAAAACCAGACATAAATACTTCTGACAGAAAAATATTAAGAAATACCTGGCAAATACAAATTACTGCAAAAAGAAGATTGCTATTTTTAAGAATAAAAATTAATTTCCGGCTCCTCCTTTTATCTTTCCTTTTTTTTACTAAATCTATCTTGAATAAATTGATGTCGGAATAAAGTGCTGAAATATAGTTTAATAGGAAAGATAAACCAAGAAGAAAAAAGAAGACTATGAGAGGAGTAAGGTATAAAATTTCACTAAGTTTCATGGTTAGTTAGTAGTAAATTTTTGGAGTATTTTTTCCAGATTATTTATGGTTTCTAATTCTTTATCTAAAAGAAAAATGAGGTTAGGGATATAAGCAAATTTTTTACTTTTAGCAATTTCTTTTTTTATCAAGTGGGAATATTTTCCGTTTATTAATTTGAGAACTTCTTCTTTGTTTTCTTCATGGGCAAAGGATAAATAAACCCTTACATTTTCGCCCCGGGTGCTTAATTGGCAATAACTTAAAGAAAAAGAAGGTAAATTATACTCTTGGGCTATTTTATACAAAATGCGACTTATTTCCTGTTCGTATCGGCTTTGCTTCCTTTGCTGAATAAAATTATTTTTGCTGAATAACATTTCTCTTTACTATTTGAAAGGCTACTATTTTGTCTCCTTCTTTAAAATTATCAAATCTTTTCAGGACAATCCCACATTCTTGACCGCTGCTGATTTCATTTTTTTCTACCTTATTACTTTCTAAACTTTTAATTTCGCCCACAAAAATTTTTTCTTTCCCGCGAAGTACATAAACTCGTTTATTACGGTTAATCTTGCCACTGATTACTTGACAACCAGCAATATTGCCTTTGGAAAATTCAAAAACTACTTTCACTGTTGCTGTTCCCACTATTTCCTCAACTTCCTCTACTTCTTGCTGGCTGCCGATAATTTCGTCTAATTTTCCTTCAATCTCATAAATAATTTTACTATTAAAAAAAGAAATGCCATCTTCTTTCAGAATTTTTGTCTGGGCCTTGGAAGGTTGATAGCTAAACATTAGAACTATGCTGTTAGTGACTTTTGTTAATTCAAGAGCAAAGTTGTTCAAACTTCCTACTTCGGTGTAAACGATGGAAAAGTTTAAATTAGAAGTAGTTTTTTTTTTTATTAATTCTATGAGGGCTTCTAGACTATTTTGGCTATCGGCAATCAGAACCAGATTGATATTTTTTTTCTGGCTGGGGGGGGGGGGGGTTGATTTCTTCTTTTTTTCCCAGTAATTGGTTAATTCATTTTCTACTTCGGCAATAGTTTTTTCGTCATTTATCACTAAGAACCCATCTCCTAATTCAGCCGAAACATTTAGGCCAACAACTTGAACTACATCACTCGGATAAGCAGTGGTGATTTTCTGGCCATGAACATCAGATATCATTTTGATTTTTCCAAAATTTCCGTTAAGGAAAATGCTATCTTTCTCTTTCAATTTTCCGTCTTGAATCAATAATTCATTTACTCGGGTACCGGTTCGGGGATGCAGATAACTATCAATTATTACTCCGTGGGCTGGGGAGTCAGAATTAGCTTTAAATTCAGTAGCAAAAAGTAGAATAGTTTCCAGCAGATTTTGGACACTAGTCTTTTCCCGAGCACTGCCAGAGATTCATTCGAGGGGAGTTAAACCGAGTTGTTGACACTGACCTTTAATTCGACTTAAATTATTTTCATTGTTAGTTTCATGTGACTTTTTATGGTTAATAAAAACAATAACAGGTAATTCGTAATTTCAAAGGTAGTTAATAATCTCCTTAGTTTGTTCCATTACACCATCCTTTGCGTCAATTACCAATACTACTAAGTCAGTTAAGGAAATCCCCCCTTGCCGCATTTTAATAAAATCACTATGTCCTGGGGTATCTAAAAAAGTAATTTTTTGCCCCTGAAATTCTACTTGGGAAACACTAACTTTCTGGGTTATTCCCCCAGCCTCTTTTTTTTGGACTTGGGTTTGGCGAATGGTATCTAATAAAGTAGTTTTGCCGTGGTCGATATGACCCATAATACTAACAATGGGTGGACGAGCAATTAATTGCCCTTTTTGCTTGCTTTTTTTCAAGTATTCTTGAATAATCTGGCGAAAATTTATTCCCCCTTTTTTTTTGACTTCTATTTTAATACTTTGACAATAATCACTCAATAAATCCTTTGATAATGATTGATTACGGTCGACACTTTGTCCTTTGGCTCAAAAAAAACCAATAATTTCACCGACCGATTTACCAATAATTTCTCCCAACTCCACGGCAGTTATGTTTTCGTTTGCCAAATAAAGAGTTTTATTTTTAAATTCATTGGTGGAGTTTAGAATATCACGGCGAATTATTTCTAGGAACAAATTAATATTCTCATTTTTTTTCATATTAAGGTTTGAGGTATTCGGCAAGATTATTTTTTTAGACTTTATTTTTCAATTTCTTCCACTATTTGCACGTCGACATTTTTGTAATTACCGATTTCTTGTAATATTTGACCTTTATTTTCTAAAATATCATTTCTCTCGCTTTCTTCCAATACAGACATGCGAATAACTATTCCTAAGTAATCACTAATTTTTTTTAACATTTTTTCCTCGTATTGCGGGCGAAAAGCGGATCTTTGTTGAAGCACAACAATTTCTCATTCCTTTTCCTTCTTGATAATTAATTTAACTAATTTAATTGGCGAGAGCAATTTAGAAAGTAATTTTTTTTTGTCTTCTGCCCAATCCACAAAGTATATTTGCTCAGAGTAAATCAAACGGGAAACAGATTTGGCTCTTTCGCCCCTTTCACCAATACAAGTTCCGGCTGGATCAATATTTAATCCTTCTTCAATCGCTTTTTTGCCTTTCTCCACCACTACTTTACTTATTAATCCTGGTAAACGCAAAACACTATGAATGGCAATAGTTCTGTTTTTTATTTGGGGGATTTCCTGTTCTAACAACTTGCGAATAAATAAATCATCCGAACGAGTCAAAATAATTTGTGGAGTATCCTCAGTGGGTTTCTCTCTTACCTCCTTAACTAAGAGACAAAAGCGTTGACCTAGTCTTGGTTCTTCCCTCAGGATTCATTCGGATTTGGCTCAATAGCCAACTCCTTTTCCTAAGTCAATTGAATAATAATTCTTATCTTGCAGGCTTTTAATGCTACCTTTAATTATTTCTCCTTGTTGTGGTTTGTATAACTTATATTGTCTTTCTCAACTAATTTCCCCGACATCCTTACGCAAGCGACTTTTAATCTCTTGATTAAGCGAGAGAGATAAATTTTTGATATCCAGAGGGAGAAGAAAATTGTCATCTTTTATTTGCCCTTCTTTTAATAATTCATTATCTTTGGTTATTTCTTTTTCGGAGTCATTAATGGTTTTAACTATCTTATAAAGACGATAAACTGACAGTCCTGAGTCAAATTCAAAATGTAATTCGGCTCCTAACTTTTCTCCTTGGCAATAGGATTTTCGAAAGGAATCGATAATTACTTCCTTAATTTTTTCTTCGGATACGCCTTCGCGTTCGGCTAATTGTTTGATAAATTGTTGAGTATTAGTATTATTGCTTTCAGTCAAAATCTTAAAATGTATTAATATATTTATAATTTTATAGAGAAATGGAAAGTATCGGTCATTACCTTAAAGGACTAAAAGATTGATTTACAGAGGGTTGGAAATTTTTATTTGAGCATCCGGAAAAAATAGAGGCTCATCATTTAATCGCCTTTTTGTTAACCATTGTGATAATTTATCTTCTTTCTTACATTGTTGCCAAGATTTTTAAAACGATGGTAAAGTTAATTATATTAGTAGCCTTATTTTGGTTATTATATATGTTTTTGTTTGATAGAAAAAAATATAATGAATTATTTAGTAAGGGGGGTAGTGGGTCAAGTAATAATGATAAATAATTAATTTTTTAAGACTGGATTGCTGCTTTGGAGTGGAATTTTTGGTTTTGCTTATTGTTTTATTTTTTTATTAAAGGTTGGTAATGACCGCCACTGTTATAAATAATCCAAGTTTCGCCACCGTTGTCATATTTGGCAGAAGTTAAGAAAGTGCCTAAGGTATCACGATTGAGATACTGAAAATTTGTTCCTATGTGATAATTTGACGGAACTTTGCTTAATAAACCAAGCCTCCTATCTAAAACTGGCTCTAGAAATTTAATATGATAGTCCTCCAATTGTTTGTAATTATAAGCGAGTTGGTCATCGACTATTTCTTTTTTAAGATTGGCTACTGTTGGGCCATGAGAAGCCGTTTCAAAATTATTCATCATCCAAAGAACTATTGCTACTCTTAAAGCCCGCTGCACATTTTCGTCACTGCGACCGGTTAAGAAAACTGACCAAGCATATAAAAAACAATTACCTTGCCCACTAGCTGGTATTTGAAAATAATCTTTAAGTTTAACTATATTGGGGTTTGTTTCTGTTTCTATTCCTGGAACCTTACCATAATCAGATATTTTTTTTAATTCATCCTCTCCTACTCCTTCTAACTTTACTCCTGATTCTTTTATAGGGTCAGGATAGTTTTTATCTCTTAATCAATCCTTTACTGCTTGCAAACTTGGTGGATTACTATTCAAAAAGTCTCTAATTTCACCTAAAATCACATCTCATTTATTCGAAGTTGGAGGAGGAGTTTGATTGTTAGTAGGTGGAATTGGAGTATTTGGAGTATTTGGAGACTCTTTTAATTTGCTAACGGCAGCCTGAATATTTTTTTCTCTAATTTCTAACTCTTCGGGAGTAGTTGCTCCGTTAATATATTCTTTTCAATCAGTTTCACCAGCACTTAAATAATTATTTTTTTTAGTTCTTTCACTAAATTGTCTATTTTAATATTATCAGAACTCAACTCTAATTCCAGAAAAGTAATTTTTTGAGTCTTGGTTTCTGCTAAATTTGAATTATCATTTGAATAATTATCTCCCCTCGGAAGTTGCGGAGAGGACTTTTCTTTATTCTTATTTACAATTAAAACAGTGGATGTTATAACTGCAAGCACTAGAAAAAATGATATGACAGAAACTAAAAGTATTCTTTTTTGTCGATGGGTTAATTTCATAATATTATATACTAATATTTTTGCTTTCTGAAAAAATGAATGTTAAATAAATTATTTGTTTTTTCTTACAACAATTACAATTAAAAACATTAGTTTTTCTCTATTCAAGAACAATTAGTTTAATCTTATTTACTTACTTTTTTCTTTCTTGGTTCCGTAGAGGGAACGACCTTGCTTTCTTTCTTTCACTCCCTCAGCATCAGCACGAATATAACCACGGATAACATGATATTTTATTCCCGGTAAATCTTGGGCTCCGCCACCGCTAATTAGAACT